GTCAAATAAAATCTATCTATCTATCATCTATCTATCTATCTATCTATCTATCTATCTATCTATCTATCTATCTATCTATCTATCTATCTATCTATCATCTATCTATCTATCTATCTATCTATCTATCTATCTATCTATCTATCTATCTATCTATCTATCTATCTATCATCTATCTATCTATCTATCTATCTATCTATCTATCTATCTATCTATCTATCTATCTATCTATCTATCTATCTAAGCAACCAAACTTAGAGGAATTGTATTTTGTTCTTATCAATCATGCTATCAGGCTTACTTTGCATTTAAAAGACACAAAATAAATGAATGCAAGTAAAACTAGAAAATATCATCACGGAGACCATGCACACAAGTTGCTTTAGGATAATAATCCATAGCGTACTTTTCATATCTTCCTTTAAATAGGCTTAGCATTTTCTATGTTATCAATTTTGACCTAAATGCTAGCCTTAGTACAGTAGTTGTGAGCCTTAAAGGAATACTATGCAACATTTTTCAGTTAATTAATGTGTTCCATAACGTTTTGGATGATTAAATGAGTCACTTCAGGTCGAACAAAGGTTTTCTCGGCCGCACTGGTGGTCTGTGGGGGAAATACCTTACTTGCAATTGCAGTAGCCCTTGGCCTGCACCCACAGGCTCAGAAGTGTCGTGCATCGCGAGAGTTGGTCTTGCTTTACTTTAGAACTGCTACACGCCCCCAGTGAAAGGCATGCTCGTTGCTAGCGCAGTGGCGATATTTGTGCAGTTATCGTGGCGGAACCAGCGAGAAAATAGCGAAAGCCCATGTCAGAGCAGGCAAGAAAGAGGAAAAGGGCTCTCTACCACAGTAGACATGGTGATTCGTTGTCTGCTAAGCTCAAAACAACTGCGCCTGGCTTGACGGAGAAACCAGGAGAACAGCTGAGCATATTTACGACAGTGCACTTTTACTTTCGCCCTCTGGGGGGAGCCTCGCTGGAAAATCAACACCGGTTGCATAGTATTCCTTTAAGTACTGTACTTTATAGGTAGTTCAGCTCCTCTGATTGTATCCCTGCATTAATACTTCCCTTAATGTAGGAAAAAAGCTTTTTAAAGTATTTAGGCTGACATTTTTAACTTCCTTACAGAACCCCAATTCAAAGACATCCAAAATATCTGTAATTCCTCATCTCTTTCTGCTGTCCTAGGTGGCCTGTTTATTCAAAAGCAATGATTCAGGAACCAGCTGCACTCCAAGTGCCCGGCCAAACGTCACAGCCTTCGCCTACTTCAGCAGTGCGGTCAACCCCATTCTCTACGTTTTTGCCGGCAGCTCGCACATTCGCCAAGCGGGGCTCAGCTTCATGGGGAGGCTCTTCGAGGCCACCAACTCTGAGTCCAGAACCACGTCCACTTTCACCCGCAGTGGCCGCAGCGGCTCTTCACCAGACGAGAGCTCTGTCCTGCACACGCTGTCGATTAAAATTGGGAGACCTTTTAAAGGAAAGAGCAATGAGAGAAGCTGCAGTGTGGCGGGGAAAGAGGCCAACGAGCCAGAGCTCAAAACTCTTGCCACTGTGGAACAGGTAGAATAGCATTAATGCTGTTTTAATGTAACACAAAGAGGATAATTGATTTTTTTTATTTCAATTTTCAACAGTGAGCTTCGTTGTTTTAGGCTAAAACCAGGGGGAAAGGTTGCCTTAACGTCCTGAAACAGATGAAATTATGATATAACTCAATGAAACCCTCTTAACAACAGGAATGATGTAAAGGCATTTTTGTGCTTCAGAAATAGGACCTCATTTTAACTTCAAACAATGATAACAGAATAATGTATTTTTATTTTACATTTAAAAAAAAGGTATTTTAACTGTTCACATAAGAGCAGAATTATTTTACTATTTTAAAAAAATCTTTATCCCAAAAACTTACATATTTATTGACGACTCTTGTAATTTGGATATTTATCTTTTTTTATCGAAATATGTGACATTTGAGTTCATCTGTAATTTTTTTATTTGTTTATTTGTTTGTTACTTTTTAAATACACCTGAGAAGAAATAAAAAGGTACATGTGTTATTGATTCTAAATACATTTTAATAATAAACCTTTTACAGAATTTTGGAGGAATATTGTGGGGGTTTTATTTATAAGAAAATTTAACAAGGTTCAAGTTGTAATACTGTTGGTCATTTAGACAAAATGTACTATTCTTGCTCAAGCAATGTTCTGTAGCACTAACAGAACATTGCAAAAGAAACATTTCACCAAGCATCCTTCCTCTAATAGTTTACTCCCTTCCCTCTGTTTCTCAACACTTCTAAAGTGATTATTTTTCAGTAAACGCCATTGGGCTTTATAACTTCTGTGTAAATGCAGTAACGTCTTGACATAGAAACAAAAATGGGGCAACTTTACAGGTAATATTAGTCACATTGATGGAGCAGTATTACAAACCACTGGCATCAAGAAGTCCCAATAAGGTAGAGAGACCATCAGTCATGCTTTCCAATGAATAACAAAGTGAATTTTTCCTGCTGCTGTACTTGTTCAGACATACACCTTAGCAGCTGACAACAGCAAACAATACGACCAAGAAAAGACCAGTTTGTTTTATGCTGTATACTTTATAGTTTGAAATCTGCATGAGTAGCCATTAGCTGTTGATTTAACCATTGTTGAAAAAAAATCTAATTTGTTTAGCTTAGTTATTTTTAACTTCATTCATAACGATCTGAGCAACTACTGACTGTGGATAACAAAAATCCAATGAAAATCTCCTATCTTAGCTCAGGATCTCTGCTGCTCCTCTCATTTAGATTAAGGCTCCTCCATATACATTTTTGATTGACGGCCATTTTTGTTGTTGTTGCTGTTGTTGTTTTTTTGCCATAATCTTTACATTTTCAAATGATGGATTAAATAGAGCTTTGTGAGCTGATCAGAGCTTGGGGTAGATTATCATAAACTAACTCTGGTTTAAACATTATCCCTGTCCAGCCTTCTCTATTCATTCACCTTCATCATGTGGTAAGTTTATTACTGAGAAGAAAATCAAAAATATCACAACCTATTTGGTGTTGGTTCTGTATCCACAATCGTAACTGAATATACACTCTGAAACAGCTCCTACTAGTAATGGTTTAGATATGCTTTGAGTATAAGGAACAGCTGTTTTAAATCTCTAATATTCAAAAGTAGGCTTGTCATAGGTACATTAAATTGATAAGTTTGCAGCATGACTTGATGACATCACATCTTGTTCACCACAGTGTGATGTCCTGCAGGCTATGGAAACAAAACATGTATATATATTGGGTTGCCTAACAGTAGAAGCTATGTGCTAAATCATTTGCCCCATATTACATCATCTGTTTATTGGTACTTGAAACTGCTTCTGCTTCTGTGTCTGCAGAGATGTTTTTTCCTTCAACTATGAATCATCAAACATATATTGGCTATAATTGTTGTCAAAATGTACCCGTCTTATTAACTAGGGATCCCGCCCTTATTTCTCTTAAAATCTGTTATTCCGACTCTTAAACAGCAGGGTCTTTTTCTAAGGAGTAGCTTGGCTTGAGGAAGTTAATAGTTCTGTACCTTACTTAAATATTTATAATAATTAAAACTATATTCTCTTTGGGATTATTGCTGTTCTACATAAAATATTTAATTTCCTAGCCAAATCCTGTCAGAAGAAAAGCACAGACATCTTTCTCATCTTCAAATTCACAAGTGCTTCTCTTTGCTCCTTTTTTAAATGAGAAATGTATTTCTATCTATTTTATCTAAAAGTCCTCCAGCGTAGCCATGTTTGTAATGCCCCAGCAAGGCCCTTCTGGCTGTGCCGTCCCGATAAACACTGCTGGCATGTCATTGGTCCGACCCGCTGGTTTTTCAGACTCGGACGTAATAGTAGGAATCTTTCAAGATGGATTTGTTGTGAGACTGAAAACTCTCGCGACAATCCAACTTGCAGTGCAAAGTTAGTCTCTGTAGCCCAAGTAAGGGTTTTTTTGCAGCACCGCACACCGCAGATTTACGGCACTTTAGTTAGCAAGAGCATGGCCTAAGCATAGTGATCAGCAGGACAACCATGACAGTGTTTTTCCTTACACTTCAAACAATGAACATACTTCTACTAAATAGAGCCTGACCGTCCTCCAATGCCGTCCTTTTGGTAAAGCGACAGCTGTGGTCGAAGGCTAACTGATAACATCTAAAGAAACTGACCTACAGCAACTACAACATCCAGTCAATCCTCCCCAGAGCCTCCTATCAAACATTAGGGGAAAGAAAATTTGCAATCCTAACAAACACAAACAGCAATAAAGCATCAAGGTAAAAAATAAATTAATTTAGCTAGATGTTTATTTATTTAGACAGTACAGAAGGAAAGAGAGTAATAGAGTATTTTTTGGAAGGGGGAGATACAGTTCTGTGAAAAACTACTTGACCTCTTCCTAAGTTGTAATGTTTTTCCAAGGTTTGTCAAAATTAAGTTTGTTAGCACATCACAATACAGTAAACATTATTCAAAAAAACAGCTTTCAGTTTTTATTTAAGGATTTTTATTCTTAAACATTTTTTTTATTAGCCAAACTGACCTTATGCCAATATTTTTAAGTGCATTAATATAGATTTACACCAAGTAGTTAGATATTTTTCAGGACCTTAAATTCAAATTTCATTCAGATTTGAGTAAAAAATCTAAGCTCTGCAACTTTAATTATTGTGTTTTGAGCCAAATTCATGGTATCTCTCTTAATGTTGATCATTAGTTAATTTCCTTAATGTTCTAAGATGTTTAAATTATCAGAGGCTGGGGGAAGAGTAGATCAACATACATACACTATATTTTTTGTGGTTTCACTGCAATAATATATTTTCCTTAAATATTTACTTAGTAGACATGTGTGTTACTATAAACCTTTTCAAACAGTCCCTCAGATTTGGCAGACACTTTGTGCCGCTAGTTAGGTTTACACGTCCTGGGGAGTAAGCCTCCCTTGTCTTTCAAAATGTGGATGCCACTGGTTTACAAGAAAGCATCAAATTAAACTTTTGGGGGGGAAAAATTCCTCTCTATTATCCTTTCTATCTGACTGAGGTTGACCTACATTGAACAGAAGAACTGGGGAAATAATTTCTGTGTCTTTACGAGCAAAGTTGAAAGAGTCATACATGGATATCCTGTAGTAAATGGTAGATGCAGTCTTGCTTCAAGGGGATGTATCTACATAACTTACTATTTATATTTTCTTTTTAAAACCACTTTTAAACACAACTGAACTGTAGGTCTTTTATGCTATCCCTCATTGTTCAAGGAAGCCGATAAAAGCCCATAGTTGTGAACCCTATTGCAGGAGCCTGTTGCTCCTTGTTCTCTTATGGGCTTTGCCATCAACTTAAATAAATTGCTTAAAAAGGTATAAATTTCAAACATAATAATAATATTTGTCCCTTTATCAACTAATAAAAAGTATTTTTTTTTTTTGAAAAGCAGTAACCTAAATTTTCTTTCATAATAAAGTATTTGGAGTTGGCGGACTGGGGATATTTTTTTTTTCCCAATTAGAAACTTACTTAAGGGATAACAACAAAGAATAATGAAAATATACTTTTAAATGCAGTCATGGCAAAACAGTACACTCCAATTAAATATGCATTTATATGCTCTAAAATGATTTTAATTAAACCCAATGTACACACCACAGATAAAACCCAAGTGTTGAGACAAGACAAAATGCTGGAAAATTAAATTCTTACACACTAAATCAGATGAATACAATAAAATTTTGTTTTGTTGGTTGCACAAAAATTTAGAAAGGTATAGCCTTTAAATGATATGATTTAGTTTCAGTACATTTTATTTTGCAATTTATCATAAAGTCATGAGGATGTTGGTTACACAATGTATGCAGCTGCATTAGGTTTTCATCCCTTCATCTAATCCTTTGTTCTGTGCCATTAAAGCTGCAGTAACAATTACAATAAGCAAATCAACACTTGTGACCTACTATTTTTTGAAATAGCTGCGTTTATAAACTAATATAAACTTGAAATCTTGATCCATAAAGGTAAAAAAAAACAAAGAAAAAACACAGCAAACATGCTCATCAGTTTTTGACTTACATGTGTGTCTATTTAAAAAGACAAAGCTAGAATATAAATAGCAATTGACTCATCACGAATTAATCTATAAAGGGGGTAAAGCAGGTGTTTTTCTGACAGTCAACAGAAAAACCTGCAATGTAGCAAAGTTCTGTCAATGACAACAGGATGCTGTTTATGATTATGAAGTTAACTAAATAGGCCAAAGCAATTGTGCAATGAGCAGAAAAATAGCTGAAGTGGTTTTGCTTGACCTCATTTACTAAAATTCACAGGAAGTTGCTGATTGAACTTTAGATGAAATAAGATGAAGTGCTGAATTTTTTGTAGTCCTTCATGTTGTTTTTCTTAACTCCTGTTATGTTTGAAACTTGCAAAATATTACTTTTTAACTAAAGGTGACCCGAGGTTCTTAAGTCAATTTTGACATCTCTTTTATTTTTTAACCATATATATTAACCAATACACTCCAACTATTTTAATATTGCTCATAATCATATGTAGAATCTGTAGGAGGAAACACATTAAGCAGGCCGGCTTAAATTTCCGTTACTGTTTTAGAAACTGCCACTGAACACTTTACATTTAGAGGGGCTCTGTCCAGCATCGCCTCATTAAACAACATTTGGTGCCAGTGCATACTGTATATATGTAAATAAGTAAAAAAAAATAAAAAAATAACTGTTCAAAATAGACAGAAATATACTGTGTATTCCAAGATCTTGTAATTATTACACAGTATGCACCAGGAGTAACATTTTGTGAAACTCAAATCTAATGTCTCCTTTTCTATTGAAAGCACAGTTCAGGTTAACAGTAAGGAAAGTAGCATAGCATAATGTTATCATGTAACCATGTTGTTTGTAATTTCATAAACTGGCTTCAAAAGTGTTTTCCATTTAAAATGTTGGTGTTTCTTTTTTTTGCTGTTGTTTTTTTTTTTTTTTTTTTGTAGTAACAGCACAATAAATTAGGATACTTATTTTTTTTTTTTGCTTGGTTTTCTTTTACACAAAAACTGAATAGGGGGTTACAATGGCTTTCTGTAAAGTGGTTACTAATTTATTAAACAGTACCTTATTGGATAGCTAGTTTAAACATTACCATTGAGAGGATTTGCCTAAAACAGGCATGAGTTATTCAAATCTACCTTTGCAAAAAAAAAAGAAAAAAAAAGAAAACTACCTCTGCAGACTGAATTAGCTTCAGTGTAAATATATTTTAAGTTGTATTAAGCCAAGAACTCTTCCAAAATTGGTGAACACTTTTTAGTTGTTATTTCTTTTGTTGCAAACCTCTTTTCAAAACTCTGTAATTGGAAATATCATAAATAGTTCCACCATTCTCTTATCACTATAGTATTTGATTTAGTGTAGGCAAGCAAATGGCTTATTGTTTTACTCTTTCAAACATTATCAGACATATTTGGAAATTGGGATTCTTTGATTCTTTGCCACAGTAACTCTTTAAAATAGAAAGTATTTGTAATTGTGAAACAGTTATCATTCATGTATAAAAATTCAACTGATTTTGCGTTTGGATTGCTCTCATTCTAATGAGGTGTGTTAGGGAGGTTCAGCGAACAAACTGCCAAATCAGTGTATGGGTGAGGCATAGCACCCATGTTTTCCCAGCATTCTTTTTTGGGATCATAGCAATGCACCCACTTGCTATCCCTGGCTGTGTCGGCTGAAGAACCCCCAACCACATACAAACATCCCTTAAGCACTGCTGCCCCTGGACACAGATGAGGTAGAGGGAGGGCAGGAAAGAATGACCAAGAATCTCTGGCTGGGTCATACACCTCACAGAGTAGTTGGTCGCTAAATCCCATCGAAAGTGGTTGCAGTCCTCCAGCTACCACCAACTTGCTCCCCAATGTTAGCATTACATGTCCTGCACGTCCATCTCCCAACCTCATGGGGGCTCTGGGAAAGCAGCCGTGGGAAGGATGGTAGGTGCACATAGATGACCTGCAAATGTGATAGGAGTCACAGCCACCTGAGATGTAGATTTGACCATTCAGTACAGCAGCAGCATGACCACAGACAGCTGTTCCCAGAGGGTGAGCTAACCTGCAGAGGAGAAACAATTTAAAACTTAAAAGTATAATAGTGTCTCCGACAAAAAGGCCATCTTTCTATATGTCTTTCTGTCTGTCTGTCTGTGCATCCTTCCCTGCATCCATCCGTCCTTCTGTACATTATACATAAAACATAATAATGATATTTAATATATATAAGTATTATATACATACACACACATAGATACAGACGAATGTATATTAAATAAAAAGATTTTTTTTTAATGGTAATTCTACTAACAGATACACTAAACAATTATCTGCGAGAAATTTAAAAAAACTGAATCGGAAGTGTGCAAACCAAGTCCATGAGAGCATCGATCCTTCAAATTTTCGATGCGTCATAACAAGATTAACACCGCATTATAACAGGAACTCCCTCTATCCACCACATCACTCCAATTCCCTCCAACAGCTCCACTGTCTCCTTGTGCAGGTCCGCATTCAATATACATTTCTCATGGTGAGACCATCTTCATTCCAAAAAAATATAAAAAAAAATAAAAAAGGAAAACAATCTACTGGACTTTGTTTCCAAGTTTGAAGACATTTTGCTTCCCATCCAGGATGCTTTTTCAACTCAAAATGTCAGATCTAGCATTGAGGTCCAAGTTTTATAGAGTTGCCCAAAACGAGGACTTGTGCTTGCTGAGAAAACATGCATATTGAACTGGAATAAGGGGTCCGCCCCTTAGGAATGGGGAGTCGTTGAGATCTTTTGTTGGACTGCAATACCCAATACTATTCTATGCCTCTGAAATTGTCTTTGAAAAAGAAGCTAATCATTAAGCCACTTCATTTGGATGGCATTGAATTTCATATATTCCTGTGTAGATTTTTTTAACTACTTTATGTACCTCCAGATGTTCTCCTCAGGAGTGTAATACTCCACAGTATCCAGGCATTGGCTGCCGTCATAATTACCACCAAGAACTAAAACCTTTTCATCCAGGCACACTGCTGCAAAGTAATCCCTGGGACACAGCATGTCAGGAAGTTGTTCCCATTTAAGACTTAGCAGATCTAACCTGAAAAAAGGAACAATAAATCAGTCACAATGATGTGTCTTTCTTTTCAACTAATTAAAGAGTTCAAAGTAAACATCATGACAGAATCCCTGTCACACACAATAAACTGTCATACCTTGCAGCAGATTTGAGGATGTCCAGAGACCCATAATATTTGCGTCCTCCTAGGATGTAAAGTTTGTTGTTGAGGACACAGACGGAGTGTCTGAAGCGTGGCGGTTCAGGGATCTCTGTTAATACTTTCCAGTCTATTTTTCCTATCAGACCTTGACCACGATGAAAATGTTGGGCATACCATAAGGACCGGCTTTGAATTCTCTTCACAAAGTCATCATCAACAGTATCTCCGCCAACTAATACCAGAACCTTATAGGAGAGAAGGACTGCTTTAATTTTCTAATCCTAAAGTTGATAAAAATAAAAGATATATTATTAACTTACATGTTTTTTACATTAGAAACTTCAGAGAACCATTACTAAGGCTAATACACTTACCTGGTTTTGTGAGCGGGGTTTACATCTAGGCCCTTTGTATTCCCCTTTAGCAAGCAATTGGAGGGTTTCTACTGCTTCTCCTGTCTTGGGGCTGCGGTAAAGTAACTTGCACCTCAGAGCTTCCTGGAGCTCAGAGGAGGTAAGTAGTTGGAGGCGAACATGGCATAGTAGGCTGGACAGAAATTGAAGTCTTTCTTTAGGTTCTTCTTCCACCCAGCTCACTACTGCCTTAAACACCACAATCTAGCGATTAAAAAAAGACAAAAAATTACTTTAGCCTGTTTTATGATAATGGTAGAAACAAATCATTTACAGTTAGGGCCAGAAATATTTGGACAGTAACACGATTTTTGCAAGTTGGGCTCTGCATGCCACCGCATTGGATTTGAAATGAAACCTCTACAATAGAATTCAAGTGCAGATTGTAACGTTTAATTTAAAGGATTAAACAAAAATATCTAATAAAAAATGTAGGAATTGTACACATTTCTTTACAAACACTCCACATTTTAGGAGCTCAAAAGTAATTGGACAAATAAACATAACCCAAACAAAATAGTTTTTTCAACTTTTTGTGGCGAATCCTCTGGAGGCAATCACTGCCATAAGTCTGGAACCCATGGACATCACCAAACGCTGGGTTTCCTCCTTCTTAATGCTTTGCCAGGCCTTTACAGCCACAGCCTTCAGGTCTTGCTTGTTTGTAGGTCTTTCCGTCTGGATTTAAGCAAGTGAAATGCATGCTCAATTGGGTTAGGATCTGGTGATTGACTTGGCCATTGCAGAATCTTACGCTTTTTTGCACTCATTAACTCCTGGGTAGCTTTGGCTGTATGCTTGGGGTCATTGTTCATCTGTACTGTGAAGCGCCGTCCGATCAACTTTGCAGCATTTGGATGAATCTGGGCTGAAAGTATATCCCGGTACACTCCAGAATTCATCCGGCTGCTCTTGTCTGCTGTTATGTCATCAATAAAGACAAGTGACCCAGTGCCATTGAAAGCCATGCATGCCCATGCCATCACGTTGCCTCCACCATGTTTTACAGAGGATGTGGTGTGCCTTGGATCATGTGCCGTTCCCTTTCTTCTCTAAACTTTTTTCTTCCCATCATTCTAGTACAGGTTGATCTTTGTCTCATCTGTCCATAGAATACTTTTCCAGAACTGGGCTGGCTTCTTGAGGTGTTTTTCGGCAAATTTAACTCTGGCCTGTCTATTTTTGGAATTGATGAATGGTTTGAATATATGTGAACCCTTTGTATTTACTTCTCTTCACTCTTGACTTAGACACAGATACACCTACTTCCCTGAGAGTGTTCTGGACTTCAGTTGATGTTGTGAACGGGTTCTTCTTCACCAAAGAAAATATGCAGCGATCATCCACCACCGTTGTCTTCTGTTGACGCCCAGGCCTTTTTGAGTTCCCAAGCTCACCAGTGAATTCCTTTTTTCTCAGAATGTACCAGACTGTTGATTTTGCTACTCCAAGCATGTTATCTCTCTGATGGATGTTTTCTTTTTTTTCAGCCTCAGGATGTTGTGCTTCACCTCAATTGAGAGTTCCTTTGACCGCATGTTGTCTGGTCACAGCAACAGCTTCCAAATGCAAAACCACACACATCAGCCCATATTATATATATAAATATATATATATATATAAATGTATTTCTGAACATGTTTTTGTAAACAGCTGAAATAACAAAACTTGTGTCACTGTCCAAATATTTCTGGCCCTAACTGTACCTGCTGTCGTGTACTCAACCTAGCATTTTAATCAGATGGGATACATTATTTACTTGTTTGTTTGTTTGTTTTTTTTTCTAAATCATCAAAAGTTTAAAATACAGTTTGTTGTATGTACACAGTCCTGTTTTGTAGAGTCAGCTGAAAGTTTAAATCATAAGACAAAAGTATATTTCCATTGAGAGACTAAACAGATAAGTACTCATAAAAAAATAACTACCTCTCTTTCAACAGACAATGAATCCTTCTTGAGTAGTCGCTGCAACAGAGCAAATGGGAGATCTTTAAAGTTCTCATCTGTTGAAATATGCTGGAAATTGGCAAGAATATACTCCTCTGCAGCCTGTCCCAGATCAACAAGCCCATATGTCTCAGCCAGGACCAGAACATCTAGACAGGTGCTTTCATTCATTCTCTTCTGCATGAAATCAGTGCAGAGCAAAAGCGCCCCCTTCAGCTGGTACTGATGTAGTGCACCTGTCAGCTCCCATATGTGAGCCCAGCTCAGCATGAGCTGACCTGTGTAGAAGAAACTAACAATGGCTTCAATCACCCAGGAAGAAAGACCTCGTAGGCACACGATTTCTTCTTTGGACTCCCTTAGGCCTCCACAGAGAAGTGCCTGGAAATAGTCTCCACCTGCAGCTAACACCACCCGGTGTGCTGAGAAAAAAAAATATTAGAAGAAAAAGAAGAAACTGTTTTCAAAGGTATTTTAAAATGAGGTGAAAAGACTTGATAATTCAAAGAACAACAAACAGCAGTTTTTATTTGATTTGTGAAATATTCTTGAATGCTTTAAAGTTGCCTCTTGAAATGTCTATACAAAACACTGTTTACACCAACCACATTTTTTTTTTCAAGTTCACTCAATATGAGCAAAAAGAAAAAGAGTCAAAGCCCCCCTTCTCAATCCTTAAAAATTCCTACAAAATTTTTTATTCCTGCCCTGTCTTTTTGAGTTAATCATGAGTTTCAAATTCACTTACTGTATTACCATGCAACCTCATATCACTAAAGTCATATTTTAGAAATATACACAATTATATCTACCCACTTTGCTCTTGCAGCTAACCCATATGTTACATTCCTGGAAATCTCTGTTAATTGTTTTCCCTTCTCTAATCAGGTGCCGTAAAGAATAAAACACAAACACAATTCAGCACAAATAATTTTGATGATTTGGGTCTCATTTCTAAACACATTTATTTTCTAAATTCAAAATATTTACACATCAATGTTTTCAGATTAATTATAATCCTCTCATTTTAGCTAATTCTGGACTACAGTCAGTTCCAATTTTGGGATTTTTTAAAGTTTAAATTTCAAAACTTTTTACAAACCATATTGAGAGATTACTTATAATTACTAATGACAAGCACACAGAGCATGCATGCAGTGACAAAAGGAAAACTCCTTTTTAACAGAGAGAAACCTCCAGCAGGGGTTAAGAGAGGGGCGGAGCTGTCCACTGGTTACCACATTGTGGTGAGCAAGATATATTGGAGGAAATGGAAGGAACNTCACATTCTATTTTCCCCTCTTCGCTTCTGCTTTAATATGATAATGAGGGGCGGTGTCTTCAGGCTACAATGGCAGCCTATTGGTTGGTTAGATGCAACCGCAGCGCTCAGTTCCTGTGGACTTTCCCTCCGAAAAGCAGTCTAGAAATGGCGAACACAGAGGGTGCAGCACGTTCTGTATCGGTTCTTTATTTCACTCATTTTCTTAATTTTTTTATTTATTTTACTCATTTTTTATTTATTTCACCCATTTATTTATTTATTTAATTTTGGCTGAAATGGCTCTCCATACACAGAGCATGCATGCGGTGACAAAAGAAAAACTCCTTTTGAACAGAGAAAAACCTCCAGCAGGGGTTAAGAGAGGGGCGGAGCTGTCCACTGGTTACCACATTGTGGTGAGCAAGATATATTGGAGGAAATGGAAGGAACTTTGCAGGCCCAAGCAAATAGTGAGGGTCTGGTGCGAATGTCTGGTTGAGCTGTCAGTCAGGGAAGTGTTTAACTCCCATCTCTGGGACAGCTTTTCCCAGATGCCAGGGTGGCCTGGGGAAATGTAGTGTGAGTGGGCCATGTTCTCTGCTTGCCCTGTTGATGCGGCTGCCCGTAGCTGCCAGTAATCCCCAAACCCGGTGGTAGACACCTGCACTAAGGGATGCCATCAAGCTGAATAATATGTTTTATGGAGCCTGGTTCGCTTATGGGAGTCCTAAAGCAGAAGGCAAAAACTTGGGCTTTGGAGGAGTTTGAAGAGGCTATGGCTGGCCTCAGAGCGATATTGGCAAACTTTCCGATGACTCTGTAATGGGAATCCTTGCTTTGCTAACACTTTTTCCAGTGGGAGTGGAGAGCTGCTTACCTTAAAAGGGGACATCTTTGGATGGTGGAAGAAATACTTTGTGATCTCCTCAATCTGATTGACCCGTGGACACCGGGTGATTTGTTTATCATCCAGGTTGAAGTCAAAAATTTCATGCCGGCTAGGCTATGGGGATGGATGAGTACCTTAGAGCTCTGAATGTTTCTGGGCTGTCGTGGATTACACACCTTTTCAACATCAGGTAGAGGTCTGGGACAGTGTGCCTTGGCAGACCGGGTTGATGTTTCCCCTGCATAAGAAAGAGGATTGAGGGTGTGTTCCAATTATAGAGGGATCACACTTCTCAGCCTCCCTGGAAATGACTATGCCTTGGCTTCAGGAGGAGCAGTGCGCTTTTCCAGCTCTAAATTCTCCGCAGGGTTTTGGAGGGAGCTTGGACATTCCTCCAACAGGACCTGGAGAAGACATTCAACAACGTACCCGGTGGTGCCCTGTTGGGAGTGCTTCAGGAGTATGCAGTCGTAGGCCTTTTACCAGGGGCCATTAGGTCTTTGAACAAGCAGAGCAGGAGGTTTGCAGCATTAAGTTGGACTTGATCCCACTGCATATTGAGCTCTGACAGAGCTGCCCTCCGTCACCGGTTCTGCTCATAATCCTTATGAACAAGATTTCTAGGTGTATCCGAGGGATGTACAGAGTATGGTTTTGGATTTAGCGGATCTGGTCCCTGCTTTTGCGGATGATCTGACTCCCTTCTGCCAAGACCAACTGGGGCAGTTTGCAGCCAAGTGTTTGCAGCCCCCTATACCAGAAAAAGGGGCCTGTCCACCTCAGGTTGGAGTAGAGCTCCTACCTCAAGTGGAGGAGTTGAAGTTTCATGGGGTCCTGTTCACGAGTGAGAGGAGAATGGAATGAGAGTTCAATAGATGGATTGGTGCGGCTGCTGCTATAATGCAGATACTCCATGGTTTGTTGTGGTAAATAGGAAGGGTGAGCAAAGAGGTAAAGCTCTCAATTAAACGTTTGGTCTATGTACCCTCAACTATAGTCATGAAGTCTGGACATGACCAAAATAATGAGGTTATGGATACAAGTGGCTAAAATAATTTTTGTTTTTTCTCCACAGGATGTCTGGGCACTCCCTTAGCCCTATAACACCAAATGTATCATATGTGATACATGTGTTTTTGCGCCCTCCACATGAGCAGTGTAACAATATTTTCCCTGAAAAACCCGATGTACACAATTATATATATGCAGTACATGGATAATCCACCAGGTGGTAGTAATCTGCTCACTAGAGGGCCTCCCAGCCCTGCTACAAGACTGCCATAAACTAGGAAATGGACAAATATCGTTTTTGCAGAAGAACTTTGAAACCATATATGTATTTCAAAGATTTTGTGACTGAGGAAATGCTACAGGAAATTGCAGAAGAAACAAACTTGTACAGTGTGCAGGATCCGCTACAGAAGAGACCTTTGAGAAACTGCAGCCCATGCAGGAAGCCCTGCCGCTTTGAAGATTTCAGGCTTCTGTTGGCACCGCCCTCACAAGCCCAGGAAAGGTCAAAAAGTGTGGCAGACCACTGTCCTCTCCAGAAGCAATGCCAGCCCCTCCCCGGAAGAGGAAAACCCTTGGGCTGCCCCCTGATGTGAGAAAGGATTACCTTCATCATTTCCCAACATGGGAAACCCGACAGAGATGCAAGCACTGCAAATGGCCACTTTGCCCATGTGTACTGTGAGAAATGCAGAGTGCATCTTTGTCTGAACAAGAACAGAAACTGTTATCAAGCCCACCATCACTCAAAATAAAAAGGTTGCGAAATGCAAAATTAGTAAAAAATAACTGAAATGTTATGTCTTCCAGATTTCCATCCTGACAGTCCCATTGCTGCATTGTTTTGTTTTTTTTTGGATTTGTTGGATTATTTTTTGTTCAAGAAAAAAAAAATCTTTGACCACTGTAACCCACTGTATCAAATATGATACAAATTAAAATATGGAAATTGATATTTTTGAAAAAATTTTTTTTGTTTGTTTGTTTGTTCAGAATGACCAATAAAGGCTCTAGTTTCAAAGAAGTAGAATTTTCTGTCAATTATTTAATGGTATTGGCTTTACAGGAGCTCAGTCTGGAGCTCTGTCATTCGGAAGAGGCTAAGAGTAGAGCCGCTTTTCCTCTAACTCAAAAGGAGTCAGCTAAGTTGGCTCAGACATCTTTTTCGGATGCTCCTGGACCCCTCTCTTGGGAGGTGTTCCAAGCAAATCCCAACCAGAAGAGGCCCAGGGGACGACCCAGGATGCAGTGAAAGGACTGTGATTCTCAGTTTGGCTCGAAGAACCTCAGGATTTCCCCAGCAGAGCAGTAGAAGTTGTCAGAAAGAAGAAAGTTTAGGAATCTCTGCTGGGACTGGTGACCCGGTCCCGGATAAAGGGAAGACAATGATTATGAACCCTACAGCAGAACCAGCCTCAGGTTGAGTGGCCTTTTGACAACGCCAACTGGGGGTTAAAGGAAAAAAAGGCAGTATACAAAGAGTATAAACAATACATCTAGCTTTACAGGTCGCTGCTTCTAGTAAAGAATCAGTTAAGAGGACAAGTTCTAAGACAGTTTTCATTTCAAAAGATGAAAGACAGCAAATGTAGTACTTAAATCTATGGCATAGTATTATCTTTCTTTTATCAATTTTAAAATTAATCAATAATGAATTAATCTCTAATCTATACTATAAATATATTTTACAATTAAATGCTTTTAGCGTGATAGAGGTACAAAACATTTTCACACATAACAATAAATAAATCAGATGACATGGCAAGAAAACCAAGAAATATTTCTTGATACCAATTATGATGGAACTTTGTAGGTAAAATTATTAGAAATGACAGGGTATTGTAGCCCATATCCTCACAAATGTGGATATATCAACACTGTCCTTTCCCTGGAAGCTTATCACTTCATTTAAAACAGCAGATGACTCATTATCAATATTGTTTAAAACATGTTTGGTCAAGGGTGATTTTTCACAAAACAAGAAATGTCAGATTAGCATTTGTTACTGTAAAATGAAAACGCTGATCCAAAAGCACCACATTCCTACACAATGACTAACATTCCTCCATAAAAAGTAAGTAAAACTAGGACACCTCATTTGAATGGAAAATGTCAAAAATTATGAAACCATTTGTTGATATGTGTAACAGCAGTTTTATCCTCTACCAGCATGGACTACAGCTGATGTCAATAAGTGCATTAACTATTCATGGAAAGGGATACTGGGAAAAATACCGGACGGAAGAACAAAAAAATAAAATACAGGTGGAAGTTGTATCTTACCTTTACATCTCTCTCCAGTATCGGCTTGAATTATAATATCACAGCCCACTTCTTTGTCCCTCATCTCCTTAATCTTCATCAAGCTTTTCTCTCTCTCCTTTAAAGCAGAGAAGCAAACCCTTTGTGTGCACCTATCTCTCAGTCTCTCCACCTTAAGATTTTCACATGCATTCAGGACCTCCTTCATTTCTCCTTCTTTAAAACTCTCCAGAGCCACATATCCATAATATGCAAACTCCAGAACAGCCCCAAACCCTAATGGAGTTAAGTTATGTTGAAACTCTTTTATACCAAGTCCAGAGTTTGGTTTTGAATTGAAAAATAAATCTGGACATTCACTGGCAGCTGCCAGCACCAGACCATGGGATTGGAAAGTGATTCCTTGAATGCAAAAATTGAAGTCCAAAAGAAGCTCTTCTTCCCTAAAGCGTTGTAAATTACTGAAGAAGATGTCTGAGTATGAAGGGAAGTTGTGGAGGATACCTGTTTGCTTAGGTTTAGCTGGAGAATGATGGGGGAACATGTGATAGACTGCAGAGTCTTGGAAATGCTTTGATTCTTCACCATGATTTTTGTTTTGAGAAAAACCTTTGGGTAAACCTCTTCTTTTGACATCACCCATTGTTCTGTCAATCACCCCACCTCCTTCACTTGGTATTTTGAGAGACCACCATAATAGTTTCAGCTGGCTTTTCACAACTGGGATTGACAAATGTTTAACGGGAAACAAAAACACTGAAAGAAAAGGGAAAGTTGGAGAGTCATAATAACAAAGAAGCAGGGACAGAGGAGAGGAACAGCATTTCTATTCTTGGAAATGTCACATACACAGTCACTACTTATTTACTGTGTAGTCAGACATGCATCAGTTGGCCTCGTGACCCCTGAGGCATCTATTACTTAGTAGATATAGACACAACTAGAGAACAGCTGGTCAACAATGCAAAACAATTCTCAGACTGAGAAATGCAGTGAGTTTAAAATAGTTCAAATTCAATCTGATTAAGGAGCATTTCCTGTTGTGTTCAACATCAATTAAAGGCATTTGGAAATGTATCAGCTCCTATGGAATCTAGTCAAAGAAAATGTATGTCCTGTATTTGTTTTGCCCCTTTTGGATTCCAAAAGAAAAGTTGCAGACATGTTGTATATCTCTGTGTTGCCCTGTGACAGGCTAACAACCTGTACACGGTGTAACCTGCCTTTTGCCCATACTGAAAGTTGAGGCAATTTCCTGCTCAAAAACATACTTTATGTTGATACATTACCTAGCAGAAACTATATCAGCATTAAAGCTATTTGTCCATATTATTTACGCAAATGTGAAAAATTGTTTAGAAAATACAAATAAAATAAGCCTGTTTGGAAGGGTTTCCAGTGGATTAATTCTTCTAACTAAAAGCACTTTTGAAATTTTTAAGGCAACTTTTCAGTTTTTAACTGGCTCTTCATCCTTACCAATCACCAGGCAAAACCCTAACTCTAACATGACAGACTAAGCTATCTTAGCTACTGTTTGGTTCTGGCTGAGAGGAAAGAACTGCTTTCATCAAGAGGTCACAGGGAACGGCAGCCAATCAAATATTTAAAGCTCCATAGTGTAGTTGTATGTCCTAATATAACATAAACATGTTGAGCTTGTTGGTGAATCTGAATCAATGTATATTCACTTACTTAGAAAGCATACATGCTGGATACCAGACTGATAATTTGACCTTGAATTAAATGATCTCTTTAACACTCAGCCTTACAACTAGTGGTGCTTTTGAACACCATCCAACTATTAGCCATAGGACTTAAGCAACTTGTTGAGGAGACCGTGAATTTCCCTGTACAACAAAGTACTGTAGTCAATGTGAGGCTGTCCAATTACTGCAAAATTAGGTCATGCAACTGGACACTAATCACAGAAACAACTGATCATTTGCAACAGATATCAGACAAAGAACTCCAAAGGCCAAATCATGGTCAAGAACTGAAGCTACTTTAAAGGGTCAATGGACAGTGGAGTTCTGTAGAGTTATCAGAAAATGGTCACTTATATACAGCAGAAATGCCATATGTGTATACTTATGCTATTTAAAACTAATTAAATCCTTACAGTAGTTAATGGCATAACGAGGTAACCAGATAGGAACCATCTGTTTTGCCTGACTTACCTTTTAAAAGAAACACAACATGGAAATTATAGAAGTGGTATCAGTGGGATATACTACAGTGGTAGAAGATGTTAACAGTTTCCCATTAAACAAGGGACTTTAAATGTGGAGCCATTGCTTACCAAGCACCAGCCATGATTTTATTAGTCTTGCTGCAGCACAAGCTGAAAATACTTGTCAGGTCCAGCATGAATGGAGCAAACTTTTTGATGTGGCATCGGCTAATTTACAGCCGAGAAGATGATACCTTCATGTGACTGCAAAAGCTTGTGGTATTTAAAAAGGATTAAACCTTTTGCTGTACGATAAAGCCCTGAAAGTGTTGACATTCCTCTCTCTTTCTGTGTATTCAGGCTATTTAGACCATAAAGACAAACCAACCTTTAAGCAATTCTTTAGACCTGCTGAAAAGCTGTATCCTCCTTTTCAGAAAAGCTTAATGTTGCTTCAGTTTGTAACATTTTACTCAGACGTTGAGAAAAATAAAACAGTACGAAGTATAACATTTTTAAGAATAATGAATGATATAGAAAGGTGGAGAAATTTGAGCAGAATTAATTTGCATGAATAAATAGAATGAATAAAAGGAGCCTGATAAAGTGACTTAAGATGATTAGATACTTATCTTAACATTATTTTCCCCATGAATGTATTGCATTTCACATTCTCCAGCAAAGTTCCTGATTTAAAAGCCATTTAAACTTTAACGTTCTTTACTTTCACACCAAGTCGCATATAAAAGGTTGACGTATCATTATGGATCAGCATAGACGTACCTGACTTTTTTCTTCCAGCAGCGTAGGTGCAATGAGTGGCTTCAACTAGAGTACAAAGGCTTTGTGTGCAAGAAGGGTATTCAAGGCTTTGAAGCAAGTTTAATTATAGCAGGGCTATGTGGAACACTGGAAAAAATCTCCACCTGTTAAGGGATACCCAGTGCTGAGGTTTTATAACATCTTTACTTCATATTTTTTTTCAGCTATTTGGGCATTTTAAATATATATATATATATATATATATATATATATATATATATATATATATTTATTTGGAAGAGGACCTCAAATTTGTGAGAGATGGTAAGATTAACTTTAATCTAAAGCTTAAAACTAAATATGCATATTATTAATGCACTTTGTCAGCATGGTTTCCTGCAACAAATGTTTATAAGTAAAATATTTAAAAGGGAAGGAATATAAGCTAGTTTTTTTTAGATCGATATAGATCAATGCTGTATGAAATCTTTGGAAAGGCATTTGTCTGACTTTCCTGTATTCACTTGGACTATAATGGAATACGCACAGATAGGGGCCCTTATTACTATTTTTACTATGGTCAGTGACAAAGCAGAGGTGGAGCTTCCTGTTTCATATTGATGTAGTAAACACTACAGGCTCATGTATTGTCAACAATTCTGAAAAAAAATATTTGAGTTACCAGTTAACTATTTACTTCTACTTCTTGGGAGCTTTCTCCCTTTTAGTTTCATTAAGATTAACAAAAATGAAATATTTCTCACATTTGGAAGACTTACAACTATTTTCTTGCAGCACTTCCAAGCTGTAATACAGGTCACATAACTGTAATAGAGATAATTAATATATTTGTGTAGAAATTTTCAGATTTTTTCTTCATTTCACTGGTAATAACAATGCAATAAAATCATATTAGACTTGCCAAACAAGTTACAGGTATGAAATGCCTGCATATTCTTCTATTTAGTACAACAGCTTTGCTGCTACCAAACCAGTGGTACATGCTTCTGTTGTTGTGGGTCTTGTACTCAGATTTCTAGACACCATTTTCCAGAAACTACATTTGGAAAAATTAAAAGAAAAGAAAAAAAAAGTCTTCCATATATATGGTGTGCATATGTGTTCATATGCATGTGAACATGTGTGCGTGTCTGTGTTTTATAAAGATTTGATGTGTGCATGTGTGTGTGTGTATAAGTGTGTGTATGTATAAGTGTGTGTGTCTCTGAGGGGGAGGAAAGTACATGAAGCAGATGGGAGGGGATGTAACCTGCCTCACCAAAGGTATAAATTACAAGAGTTTTGTGTTGCATTGATAAAGGCACATATTTCATCTTGGGAGTGAGCCTCATTCATCAGCTTAAGGAACCTTTTGTGAGTATATTACTTTTTGTTCTCCGAAGTTTAGGTTTCATATTGGGCTGACAAAATCTCTTCAAAATCTTTGGCATTTAATTTAAAAGCATGTATTTTTGGAGAGATTATAGATAATGTGTTTATTTGTTTAAAAAAACAAACAAATAAAGCTTAGAACATTTCCATCTAAAAATATATTTGTTTGCAGGAAAGAGTTTTATAACCAGTTTGGACGTCATACTTTTTAATAACATCATGTTTTTAGAAGAGTTCCTGCAAAAACATTTATAATTAGGCACCCGCATGTTTTTTAACATGTTCAGTGTTCTGTTTACTATATAATGAAAAACAGTCTATTTGCGAAGCCCTTTTTAACAGATAAGGGCAGTAAATAAAAAACTGAATCAGCATAATTTTGTTTTATTATAAAGTGTTATTTATAATAACAGCAAAAAACAACATTAGTTCGGTTCCCTCCAAAGATAGACATTAACAATAATGGTTAGTGATTATGTCTTAAGCAAATTCATACTTTAAGACTCATGAGTTTTAAGGATTTCTAATTTATGTTAATAACTGTGGCTTTGGCCTTCAAATATCCAACAGAGAAGGAAAAAGAATTAAAAACTACACACTGGTTTAGTATGAACTAGTTGAACAATGATAAGTATTCCTCTGTCGAACTTCAAAGGAGCCACCAGAACGTCCTGATGGGGCTGTTTGCATCTAAACGTAAAATTTTGGGTCGAGGTGTGCACTTTTCCACCAATGAGGAGGGGCCTCCCAGGTACTCTCCACACCACTTTGATGGCAGCACTGTACACCGCAATCATGGGCTTCAAATTCCTCCAACCATCGTCGTCTCCGATGAGGAATCAAGGTAGGCGCTTTCCTTTTACTTATTATTTTCCTTTCAAAAAGACATTTATGGGAAAGCTATATGATCAATTGACAGAAAAAAGATATAATAGTTTTCTTACATAATTATTCACTCATCTCCCCAAGATGGCAGTGTTTAAATTCTCTGTGAATCCAACTTTTATGTAAATTAATGCAGCCATGAAAAAGTCTACACACACACACACACACACACACACACACACACTATAGATATGCATATGATTTTCTTGCTTAAAAATTTTTCTTTTTTTCTTTATATCAGAGAAACAGTTGACAGTGTTTTGGGAATTGCTTCCATTATTTTGATCAGTCAGAGGCTGATATATATCTTGTAGTTTGACTTAAACTGATATGTTGGCCAAAATGTGTTTTTTATCTTTAGATTAAAGAAAAGCAAACTTTCTAAAATCATCTTGGCTGTAAAGCTCTGTAATTTCACCATCATCAGCTGTAGTGGGGAGTGTGTGCCTCTCAAAATAAATAACATTACAACGATAGACATCAACATGGAAGTTACTCATCTACAAGAAAAGTCATCACAAAGCCCTGATCTTAATCCAGTAGAAAATGTGGGTAGAGCTCAGGACTATTGTGAGAAGCCTCTGGACACACAGAACAGTTGACTCAATTAAAGACTTTAAGAAGCAATCATTTAAAGCAACACTGTGTACATTTTGACACAATTATTAATTTCAACTGAGGATTTTAAAATTAAAGGGTTTTCAGGCCTGTGTACAACACTTCATTTGGAGATATACTCTGAGTGGGCTACTTATTTAAAAAAGTTTCCCTTGAACATCAGATCCGCCTGTCTAAAAGTACTTGTTTGGCTATAAAATTAATATGACCCTTATCTAATCAAACATACTGTTGGTTCTCAAATTAAGGATGTAAGGATTTTATCATGACTTTTTACTTTTCTTTGCTGGTTCAAAGTGGTCTGCGATCAGATCCTAAAACTTGTACCCGTCGTCTTTAGCTTTATCTAAAACTGTGTCGCGGGGGTAGCAGTCTCGGAGACTCCAAGACTTCTGTCTCCCCAGAAACCTCCTCCAGCTCTGCTTGGGGAAACTCCAGGCGATCCCAGGCCAGCCTAGAGACATGGCCAATGCAGTGTCCTGGGTCATCCCCTAGGCCTTGGCCAGGTTGGACATTGCTGGAACACCACCTGAGTAAGGCGTCCAGGGGGCATCCAAGAAATCCAAGCCTCCTTAGTTGACTCCTCTCGATGTGGAGGAGAAGCGATTCTACCCCAAGCCCCCCTTGAATGACTGAGCTCCTGAACCTATCTCTATGGGAGTGTCCAGCCACCCTGAATTTAAACATTTTGTTTGCTTTTTTTTTTTTAAATGAAAAAAAACTGGTTCTAAAACACAATGTTTAATTTGGCAACTGGCAGCATTGTCAACGGCCTAACCTGGAAGTTACAGGTTTGGCTCCCCTAGGGTCTAAAGATTACACAGATTTGTTTTAAAGAGAAAGCATCTCAAGAAAGTTGTGACATCTTTATTATTACTCTAGCAGTTAGCAAGTACAATAAAACAGGTAATCCTAACTGATCTTCAGGAAGCATTAAACTTGATTTACACTCAGAAAGTAAGCAAATTGATGTTAATTTGGCTTTTTGAAATTTATACGTAAAGTTTTGGTCATATACATACATATATGTTTTGAAATTCCATGCTTACGAAATCACGATAAATAAAAATAACTTTCGACAGTATAAATATCTAATAAATCTTGGTAAGGTCCAAACATTCATTGTAGTTATTTCTATTTATTGATCTGATTTTTACAATGTGGTTAATGTTTTGATGTAACACTATTGCTAAATTCCAACAACTTTCAGTACATCAGAACGTCGAGGCTCGAGGGCAGAGCTGCGTCGATCCTCTGTTTATAGCACTATGGACCTGGTACCCCAACTGGAGCATTACGCCAATTCTTTACCCCGTCAAATGATGAGGAGCAGGCCGTCTCTTGAAACACTCCGCAAAACATTTGAGGTAATTTTCTGTTGTTTTTTTTTCCTTTTTATTTCATTTATTTTCTACAAAACTAATATAAATAGATTTTTTTCTTTTAAAATCAGTGAAGACCAAATAAATATATATTATCATAGATGTTTAGTTGTTGGCATTTGTTCAGCATCAGTACCGGTATATAACTTAAAAAGGCTTTATTAGGAATATGTGTTGCTTTATCCTTTCATAATAGTTTACATTTCATAACATTACAAATATATCATGTTTGATGAACATTAAAATTTAAAACTGCCATATTTCAGTATGTACATACTGCTGTTAAATCTACATAAATGCCACAAAAACATCCTTTTATTGACCCACTACTAACATTACCTTATCTTCATATTATCTTTAGGGTCAGTTTGACCCTATTCACTTCTGTAAATGAATGTTTGACATACTTTAAAGGGCTTCATATTTAATCACTCTTCCTTATCTATAACAAACTATGCGTAAAGATATTTGTTCATATCCTGTGTACGTGTTTTGTTCCTCGGTAGTCTGTGGAGTCCTTTTGATCATTATAAAATAAACATACTTTTTTTACTTTGATAAGATCATTGGTCCCAAACCAAATAGAACCGTAACTACATTTGTCTGAGAACCCCTTGTTATTAACATGGAGAAGTTGTATGTCTATGGGGGCAAGAAAATATCATTTCTGAGAATATGTTGACACTTCACACAACTTAGGGGGTGGAGCTGACTCATAGAAACATGCTCTGTAGCCTTCTGTACACTTTTCTCTTTGTACTCTGTGTGCTCTCCTCTTCTACTTATAAAAAATGTTTTCTAAACATTTTTTTTATTGCAGATATTCTGTACAAGATCAGTAATTGAAAATAATATAAAGCTATTACAAAAACTGAAAGATAAAACATCCACATTTCAGTGAAATCAGTGAGATTTTATGGTGACCTTGTATTTCTACATGGTGATGTAATAGGTACCTTGATTAGGGAGGTGTCAGGAAACCATAATGTAGGACCCAGTATTCAGGCGAGACAGACAGTGGGAAGTTTCAAAATGTTCAATCAAACAAACAAACAGAACAGAAGCGAGCAGCTGTGGATACGCTGCGGCTGAGGGAGGAGGTGGTGCACAACCCATCACTGTCACTCTGGTTCAGGAAGATATACAGTGGCCATGATAATCTAATGGAAGATGATTATGTGTGTGAGTTATGGTTTAATATTTAAGTCCATCCTCACCGAGGAAGACAGGATCCAGCCGATGGACTGCCTAACGAGTCACGAAGCTGCCCCATAGTGTCCCAGATGCATCAACCCCAGTGAGCAGGCAGGAGTCCGAGCCTGGTCAGGGAAACAGTTCAGAACAAGCATGGTTCTTAGATCCAGGAGTCCATAGCCTGACCCGGATTTCAGATCCGAACAGGAACGGACAGATCAAGGGTTCCAGGAATCCATGGAGTGTTCAGGCAGGTTCAGTGCTCAACGACTCCAGCAGCAGGACCAGGCAGACATGCTCGAATGGAGACAGGCAGACTCAGTGGTTGAGAAGAACAGAGACAAAACATGGTACCAGGAGGACTGCGGAACTTTACACTGGCTACATCCAAGAGCCTGGACAACAGGACTTTAAACTAACCCCCGCGGATAATGACAGAATGGGGTTATTTAAAGTTCTATAAAAGGTATTGTGGAGGATTTTTGGAAAGTGCGCAGACGCAGAAAAACATAGCTAACTGGAGACGAGCACATAGGACGTGCTTACTTAAATATATCACCAGAATGATTGACAATGAGAAGGACCACTTATTTTGGTGATCCATCTGGGAAAAGAATATCCTCCACTATACCTTTAAAATATCCAACTCATTAAATAACAATTAGAATCTTAAAATTTGTTAGAGCTTTCAAATCGGTTATATCAGATCCAATTCAATTCAACGTTGTGTGGGCAATCCTAGAAACCGATGGTAGACAATGGCAGTAAGGGATGCTTTCAAGCTAAGGAAAGAAGGAGTCCTATCGAGCCTGGCTGGTGTGTGGGTCTCCTGAGGTAGTAAGCAGGTACAGCATCATGAGTCCAAGCATGCTGCTTCCCAAGATTTTGTGGAGGCATTAACTGGCCTGGGAGGAGTTTGGGGAGGCCTTGGAGTGTTTCTAGCAAACTGAGTGGTGTCTCCAGAAGGGAAAGTGGTGTTTAGCTCACATTTCTTTGGAGAGCTGCTGACCCTGAAAGAGAACATAAGCAGACAGTGGAAGGAATAATTTGAGAATTTCCTCAATCTGGCTGACACACCTTTCCGTGTTGCAAGAAGATACGATGGGGCTCAGGTCCCGTTCATCACTAAGGATGAAGTCATGGAAGTGGTAAAAAAGCTCCACAATGGCAAGGCTTTAGGGGTGGACAATATTCGACTTGAGTACTGTTATGTCCTCAGTGAACATTCCTTTTCAACACGGATTGAGGTTGAGGACATTGCCCCTGTATTGGCAGAATGGGTTGGTGGTTATGTCGGTAAAAATGGGGACTGGAGGTTGTGTACCATCAACTGGGGGATCACATTTCTCACCCTCCCCAAGAACGCTTATATCAGGGTGGTGGAGTGGAGACTCCAGTTGTTTGTCGAACCTCCGCTTCAGGAGGATTTTTTCTGGCCATGGAACAGTGGCCCACTCTATACTCTGTGCATAATACTTAAGGGTGCTTGGGAGCTTGCCGAACCAGTCCACATGTGTTCTGTGGACCTGGAGAGGGCAGTTAACCATGTTCCTCATGGTGCCCTTCGAGGAGTGCTTAAGGAGTGCTTAAGGAGTTGAGTTAAGGGGCCTTAACTAGGGGCCATCTGCTTTCTGTAAAAGTGGAGCACGAGGTTGGTCCGCATTGATGGCGTAAAGTCGAGCCTGTTCCTGGTGTATGTTGGCTAACCTATGTAGCCCTGAAATTAACTGGTCCTGTTAATAACCTTTTTAGACATGACTTCCAAGTGCAGCCAAGGGCTGGAGACGGTCTGGTTCAAGGACAAATAGATCTCATCTCTGGTTTTTTGCAGATGATGTGGCTTCTTCATGCCAAAACCTACAGCATGACCTGGCACAGTTCACAGCCAAGTGTTAACCAGCTGAGAGTTAGGTCCTCTGAGTCCAAGGGTTAAATTCAACAAAACTGAAATTAATACGATTATTTTTAATTTAAAGGTTAAAGGAATGTCAAGCTTAGGCAACCCTATCCAGACACTGAGAGAGATCCCGATTATTTAGTTGGGAATTAAGGATGGAATATTTAGATAATCAGGTCACCATCAAGTATTGAAAAAGGTGAAAAAAAAATAAAGTAATATCACTGCAAAAGTTGTTTACCCCTTCAAGACATAATATCATTCTAAATTATGAAGCTTCATTTCCAATAAACACTTAATTTTAATGATTAAATGTTGATTAGTCCACATTTTTTTAAAGAACATCAAATTCAAATACTGTTTTCTGAAACAAATATTACATTAAATCACCAATTTTCACCGATTTGAACTGAACCCACTGTTCCATTGAAGGTAGTGGAGATTGGAATGGACGGAGCCTCCACTTCTGACTCGGGCAGCCTGCCAGGACCAGATATGGGAAATGAAGATTCTCAAGATCCCAACATCAAAGCTCCAGTTAGATTTGGCTGGATAGTCGGGGTCATGGTAAGAGTTTAATCCTAACTGTGGATTCAATTCACTGTGAGCGAAATTAATTTTAAACATCACGCAACATTCCAATATCAAACAGCTGCATCCATTGGTATTTTGGTATAGGTTCGTTGCATGCTGAATATTTGGGGAGTCATCCTGTTCCTCCGTTTGTCATGGATCACCTCTCAGGCAGGCATTGGTGAGTCAGCCCTTCCAACATCTCATAATACATTCAGTTCACATCAGCTTTTTTGACTTAATATTATAGCATATCCTGCACCTCATATATTCCCTCTTATCTCATAGATTTAATAATAATTATTTTTTATTTTTGTTTTTATAATGATAATTTTAGTGACTCTCTGACAGAAACTTTTCAAAACACCATGGAAAAATATTTTGTTAAAAAAAATTTTTTTCAGGGTATTCAGTATGAGTTTCTGAAAAGAAAAACAATAGTTTAAATTTTAGTGAGTTGGACAATGTGTATGAGTTCTTTTACAGAATATTCTCAATAAATATTTCAATACACAAAGCTTGGAATGGATATGCAAAAAAGAACAAATTACAAATGGATTTGAAAAGGTATTATTTTCCATCTGGTGTTTATAAATAATTTATTTTTTCATTTCATAACAGTGTTGACTTGTGTGATAATCCTTATGTCTGTGGTGGTGACCTCTGTGACTGCACTATCAATCTCTGCAATTGCCACCAATGGGAGGGTGGTCTCAGGTAAGTCCATTTGTTAAGTCAGAATTTGTCATACTCTCAAAAAATTGTTTAATAATTTGTTTTGTTTTTCAGTAGATGTAAAAAAACACACACACGCACACAAAAAAAATAAAGCAAGGGTTGAAATGCATGATTCAATCAGCTGGCGATTTGGTTTTTGCAAGCATTGAGAATCATAAGGAGATGATTTAGGCAGAAAAATAATTTTTTGGAAAAAAAAAAGACAACAACAATATTTTAAGGAAGGTTATGAAATGTAAATATTGATTTACTCTATTGCCAATTGAGAATATTGCTTGCTATGGTAATTATGAAGCTCATAAAAGTATTAGCAAAAATCAGTAAATTGTCAAGTTATGATAACATTTTACGGCCTTACTTTGCAGGGTATCTTAATGATTAACAATAATTTTAACAGATTCCTTGTATCCAGCAGAGGAATGTTTAAGTAAAAATGACATGGACATTTTTTTTTTTTCAAAAGAGATAGAAAAGTGTTTGATTTACAGAAAATGGCTCCAGAAAAAAACAAACAAACATGTCTACTTGTCCTTCACCCTCTCTCCTAAACAGGTGATTTTAAACCAGTTATCTTAAGCTCAAATCATACAGGGCTAGTGCTCTGAGGCTTTTACTCTCAATCCAAATACTGCTATTTGTAGCTCCTAGCTGCTGTTCCCTCACTTTTTTGTGAGTTCAACAGTCAAAACACGATTCTGGGTGGGGAAGCTGGACAGCCATAAGCCCGATACACATGAAGTCAGTCACAAAGAACAATAAAAACAAAACAAAACAGCTCTCTGTGAAAAAATATATACATAAATTTAAGGGCGTTTTCATGTGTCACACAGAGTACATTTTCTGCTTAATTTCTGTGAGTTAGGATTTGCCTACAGTACGTATTCTTTCATTCAAAGGATGGTGGGAGTCTGTCTATCTCCTAAGTGCCCAAGAGGAAAGTAGGGGGGTCCCTGTGCTATTAAAACTATTGATAGGAAGCGACCTGCTTCATTTCCTTCCCCCCTCAGCGCTTTTTGGACAGCACTTAACATAGTGGCCTCCGACACACTTCACTCTTTGTCCTAAAAGTCGTTATGAATTTGATGAATTTGGCTGTTTCCCATGAACCATAGACCTAAATCAGACAGCTAAGCTACCTCTCTAGTGAACAGACAAAGGCTAGATCCAAATACGGCAAATTGTAGCTGCTGTTCTTATTCCTTCACCTTTCATGAGATAAACAGTAAGAGCTTTATCATGAATCTAGGGAGGGTTTTCCAATGTCAATATGCCACAGAAACACACATGGATGATATTAGTAATTGAGACAACAGCCATGCTGAATTAAAAGAAAAATGCATGTCACTCATCAACATCAGTTACAGACACTCTAGATATGCTTTGACCCTTAGTGATGATCAAGTCCACAATATGTCCTTGTTTTTGTGGTGGCTCTTTAACATATTGAGTTAAATCAACGTTTCAAAGAGTAATACATGATATTTCACTTCCATCCTCAGAATTTTCAATGTGAATGGTGAAGTCTCTGACGATAATTAAACCATCATAAAACAGATATTACAGATAAAGGTTTATAAAATCTCTGAAAAGTTATGTTTTGTACTAGGAGGCCTGCAAATATCAAAGAGCAACGTTCAGACTCAAGTCTTTACAAGGAGAGACAGATATTCAAAACCCAGAAATACCTTGTTACACTTCTAAAAATCTTGGAAAAAAGTTGGCCGCCCACCTTTCCTTTGCTTTCTGTTCACGCAAAATAAAAATCCTAAAAATAAGGATCCTAAAGACCCCTGACAAAGCATGATTAGTATTACTAGCTAGTTTGATATCTGAATGCGTTTCTGTATTACTATGCAAATGTAATATACTTTCCAATGTGTGTTTTCCTATCATGTTTTGTTCATGTACAGTATTTTAAAAATATAATTTGCTAAGGTGTTCTTTTGTAGTTTTTCATGAAAATAATCTTGTTCTTGTGTTTAACATTTTGCAGGAGGTGCTTATTTCATGATCTCCCGTACATTGGGTCCTGAAATTGGAGGACCAATCGGTGTGGTTTTCTCCTTTGCAAATGCTCTGGCCTGTGCTCTCAACACTGTTGGTTTTGCAGAGGTGGTCCGTGATTTGATGCAGGTACCTATATCTCTCCTAACCTAAATCAGTTTTGTTTTGCTACAAAAGAAAACAAATTATACATTAATGCTGATCATGTAACCACTTCAAATGATAGTATAGTGAGTTTCCTGTTTTTATGTTTTCACTTAATTTAGGAATTTGACGCCACGATGGTGGATCCAGTCAATGATGTCCGTATTGTGGGTGTGATCACTATCACGGTTCTTCTCCTTATTTCAATGGCAGGGATGGAGTGGGAGTCCAAGGTGTGGATATTCATTGAAAATTCCAACACAGGACACAAAATATTAGTATTTCTTTTAGTGATGCAATGCCATTTATTAAACTCCCCCTATGTTTTCATTTGTGTTGTTTTCAGACCCAGATTTTGTTCTTCTTAGTACTTTTGGTTTCCTTTGCAAACTACTTTGTGGGGACATTAATACCTCCAGGCATTGAGAAGCAGGCTGTTGGCATCTTTGGATATCGAGGTATAGTACTCTTTTCTATGAAAATTTTAATTTGCAGTGCCACATACAAACTTCATGTTGGTACTAGATCTGGGATGCTGAATGGGCTAAACTTACTTAAGCTTGTGGAAATCTTGTTGAAAGATGCTGAATACATTTGACTTAAATCTATGTAGAAGTTTAAAAGGCAATTCTACAGTAAACTCAGACATACCCCATTGCCTTGTTCAATCATTTGGACCCCGGTTGATTGCATCGACTCATTGACTCGGATGCAATCCTTTACACTAAGCATGCTTGTAGCGACAGTTTTTCAGATTGTGTACACAAAGAAGGAAACATGTTTAAGTATTAACATAATTTATTCAAGCCATGTATAACAAAATCATTGCAAATTACAATTACAAGCACAAATTGCAGAGGAAGATCTCACCTTCTATATAAGGCCTTTTTACATTTTGTCCATTTGCTGAGAAACCAGCAAAATGGCAGAGAGCTTCTTCATGCTTTTCAGTTTATCTAAAGGTCAGCCAGGTGGTGCCTCACCCAAAGCCTCCAGTCAGCATCCAGCCTTTCTTACGTAGCATCCCAGCATTATATCACCATATAAGGTGATGCTAGAGCCACTCTAAAAGTCCTCATATCTAAACATAACCATGTCCAATTGGTTGTCTTACACAGAAAGTGTACAGATAGAGAAATGAGAAGATATTACAGTTATCTAAAACAGAAAATAAAATAAAAAACAAATTATTCTTCAACATCCTGAGACCTTTATGTTACTTAAACTCCATTTTAACCCTCTGTTTTAGGTGACATTTTTGTCGAGAACCTCACTCCAAACTGGCGAGGTCCTGATGCCGGTTTTTTCCAAATGTTTTCCATATTCTTTCCTGCTGCCATTGGCATTTTGTCTGGAGCCAACATCTCTGGAGATCTAAAGGTGTGACGCTTGACACAATGCGGAGAAAGACCAAATAGCCATAATGCCAGGTTATAATTGACTTCTCTTTTTTGTAGGACCCTGCAACAGCTATTCCAAAGGGTACCTTGATGGCTATATTTTGGACAACAATCAGTTACCTGGGGATAACAGTAACTGTTGGTGGGTTAATTTAATTATGAATCAGGCTTGATGATTACTAGACATTGATTTGGCTTGTTAAATATTTAAATTAATTTTTAAGTTTCGCAGTTGTAGTTGTCCTTCATTAAACTTTAAACTTGTTTGAAATGTTAATTAAATATAACAAATTTGCAATACATTATGGGATTAACTTTCCAGTAGCAGGAAGGAGTGAGTAAGCATCTTGGGGATAATGAGATAATGAGAGCTGAGCCTAAGAATCTTAATTTCTTTCTAGGATCATGTGTCGTACGGGATGCCTCTGGGAATGGCAGTCACATCTTGCTGGGAAACAATACAGATGGCTGTGTGGGACTGGCATGTAATATGGGCTGGAACTTCACAGACTGTATCCAGTCCCAGTCCTGTGTATATGGGCTCGCTAACAGTGTAAAGGTATTGGTTGAAACTATTGTGTTAAAACATATCGATAGTTTTGTTTTGTTTTTGCAGGTGGTGTTTAAAATCATTGCCTTTTTTATTTTTATTTTTTTCAAATATTCTAATTACAAATATTTCAACCAGGTACTTGGACAGGTGTCTGGTTTCTACTACCTTATTACTGCTGGTGTCTTTGCAGCCAGTTTATCTTCTGCCTTAGGTTTTCTTGTCTCTGCACCAAAAGTATTTCAGGTGAGAAAACATCTCAAGTTAAAATTCTCAAAAGAAAGGGTTGAAATGTTTTTTTCACCTGTGTACTCTTCTGAAAAAGGTTTTTCTATCTTTCTTTTCAGTGTCTCTGCAATGACAAAATATACCCCTACATCATATTCTTTGCCAAAGGTTATGGGAAAAACAATGAGCCACTTCGAGCTTATATGCTCTGCTATGTTATTGCTATAGCCTTCATTCTTATTGGTGAGTGTGAGACACTATGTTTTTGAAATTCTGAATCATATTGAATTTGGTTTCTTGCACTTTCACACAGGTTAACAGTACAAGTTGACTCTTACCTTGTGTCTTTTCTTTCCCCCATGTACCACAACAGCTGAGCTGAATACCATTGCAGCTCTTATCTCAAATTTCTTCCTATGTTCTTACTGCCTTATAAACTTCAGCTGTTTTCATGCATCCATCACTAATTCCCCCGGTGAGTTACTTACCATTTCTATCTTTCTTATGATATGTATACTTTTTGATTTCTATTCATGAATTTTAAAATGTAAACTTGTGTTATTATATACTTGTTAATCATTATGTTTATTACTAGATACAGATTTATTAAATTAATAACAAACTCTCAATGGTAATATATAGAAAAAAAGGTTTATTTCTGAAGGGAGGAGTGTTTATATCCATCCATCCATTTTCTCCCGCTTCATCAATCAGGCTTATGGTGGGGCCAGTACCTACAGTATCTCTGGCAGGCAATGGGCGAGAGCCGGGGTACACCCTGTGCAGGTCAATAGTCTCGCGCAGGGCAACACAGATACATACATCCATGCACACACACACACTCACACCTAAGGACAATTTAGAGAAGCCAGCTAAACTGACCGTCATGTCCCTAGTGTTGATATCTAGATTACAATAGAGACAATGTCAATAGGAAATTTATTTGAAATATGGATTGTAGATGTAGGAGCGGCTTTCTAAAAAAAAAAAAAAAAAAAATTCAAAGTCAGAATTAAAAAAAATAAATAAATAAATAAAACACCTGATCAGAGCCTCAAAGAGTTATAAATCGTACTCAAATTAGAGAACTAAAGTTATTTTTCTCCTATAGGAGTTTTCTAATGTTTGTTTATTTACTTTTTTTCTTTATCCTTTTATCACCAATATAAAAATAAAGGTTTTATTCACAGGAAGCAGGCTCACACCTATTGCTATATCACTGAAAATATCCAACAAAATATATTCTTCTAACAGAGATTTGTAAGATTTCATTTTTATCAAAAATATCAAAATAAAGAAAAACACAAGATGTGAACAAATGTAGCCTTTGAAACATATATATATAAAACCTTGCTAGTAGCTCTGCTTCAACAGTAATTCAAACATAATAACCTAAACTATTTTATTTTCATCTAACGATAATATTCTGGGTTGTGGTCGTGAAAGGCTATTGGACCTTTGTTGCAGGATGCATGGGGAAACTCAGTCTGATCCAAAATACACCTAAATAATCATCCCAAAAAGGGCAAAGTAAACACACAGTGTATGCCTGGCTTTTAACTTTTTTGACTATATGATCTGACTGAACTGTCTCTTAAGATCACATATGTGGGGAATTAGCACAATATGTATATATGAAAAAAAATATGAATAGAATGGTAATGAAATTGATGTTTTAATTTAGAACAAATATCCCACATTGTCCTATCTATAAATCTACGGGTTTAATGTAGGAATAGTATCCCTGTCCACACAATAGATTTGGCAGGAACAAGGTACTTTTGATGAAGAGATTTCAGAACCCCTGTGTTTATATGGCCAGTCCTTTGAGACAGGCCTTCAGCTTCTCATATGAGGTCAATAACTTTAAGGGGAAAATAAACATTGTTTTTTTGTATTATTATTTTTAGGCTGGAGGCCATCATTTCACTACTACAGTAAATGGACCGCTTTGTTTGGAGCTGTGATATCTGTGGTTCTGATGTTCCTGTTTACCTGGTGGGCGGCTCTTGTCACCTTCTGCATCATCTTCTTCCTTTTTGGATATGTCAACTACAACAAACCGAGTGAGTTCATAGAGCAATAACTCAGTATGCCTTTAATTAGTGTTGCACCAATACCAGTATCGGGCGGTGCCCCGATCCAGCACTAAAATGCAGGTATCGGTATTGGCGAGTACCAACAAATAGGGCATTGATACCATTTTGAGAGCAAAAGGTTTATTCAACTATTGTCACACATTCCAGTTAGGCAATAAAAAGTTCTACTGGATTCACTTTGCATTAGTCTTTTTCCTGTTTCACAAAGGTAGGCAGCAGCTTGACAAAGCTATGATGGCAATTATTTTGCATCCAAGTAGTATGCAGTTCTTCATATATACACACACATCAATTTCAAACAGATTGTATCGGTAAGGTATTGGCTGCACGGCCAGGTATCGGGTATTGGGGCTAAAAAAAGGCATCGGTGCAACACTACTTTAAATTATAGCATGAATTAGAGTAAGAAATCGCCTTTCATGCGGCAAAACATTTTCTCCCCTCTACAGAGATAAACTGGGGTTCATCAGTCCAGGCTGGTACATACAACATGGCCTTGTCATACTCCGTCTCTCTGACAGGGGTGGAGGACCATGTGAAAAATTTCAGGTGGGTTATCCTAATTCTTAAATAGCTGCAGGAAAAGAACAAAGCAGACTTTAGATATATCTCCATCAATCAATGATCATTACAATCTTTTGTTCATACATTGATTTTAACCTTTTTAGGGCTTTTTAAGATCTTTTAATGTTTCTCATTTATATATTTTAAAATTCCACAACTTTTTATGGTTATACTATTCATCATTTCACCCAGCATCTGGTTTACTAGCAATTCACCAAGTTCAAATAAAATCTTTTCTACACTAAATGGCAATTGCTTCTTAGAAATTTGCATAATGTAGATGGTCAGATTAGATTTTTATTTTCTCTCAGCACCAACTGCAAAATATAAAGTTGAGTAGAACAATTTGGCCCGAAATATGGAAAAAAGGAGGCTTCAGAAACAATGGGGGCCAAAAGATTGAATACTCTATAAAGAGTATTCTAGCTCTGTGGTGATTTTTGGTCACGTTGCCCAAAGTGCCAAGTTCCTGTCGATCACTAAATATTTAATATAATATCTTTAGAAAATAAACAAATAATTCTAAATGAATAAGTCATTTCAATATAAATTACATAAACAATGAGTCAGTTAATGGAATCTGATTTTTCTGATAGTTTTTTTGCTTTTTTCTCATAGAATGTGCAAAATGTTTAAGCTTGTTTTGCTTCTTTGATGCAATAGGTTTCTGTCTTTGTAGCAAGGAGACTTGAATGCAAAATAGAGTTTGAAGAAGGGGTCCAAGAATGTTGTCTTTTATAGGAAACCACTGAATGATAATTGTATTTTCCAGTTCTTTTTCCTTGAACTTAAAATGAAAATATAAGAGTTTGATTAAAGATTGTTATTAGCATCCTGGATCTAATATTTGCTTATTCACATCTTTTTCTTTCCCCTATCCTCTTCCAGACCACAGTGCCTTGTACTGACTGGGCCCCCAAACCAGCGACCTGCACTGGTGGACTTTGTGGGCTCCTTCACTAAGCACATAAGTCTGATGATCTGTGGAGATATCATACTGGTAGGAGCTCTGTTCATGAGTTATATACCAATAATCAGAACAATGAGACCTGCTTTGAAACACTGTGACAGATGAACTTAGATTTTGGTTGCTATCGTCCTTCATTATAACTTTTATTTCTCTAAAAAAAAGTTCCTTTCCTGCCTTTTGTAGGAGCAGGACAGGAAGACGCGACCTCAGGATGCTACAGACAGCTTGGTGAAGTGGATGAATAAGAGGAAGGTCCGGTCATTCTACACCCCTCTATCTGCTGACAACCTCAGGGCTGGATCTAAACAACTGTTACAGGTACAATACGGATTGCTTTCTCATCAATTTCCAAGTACGTATAGCACAAGTATGAAAGTATTTCAACCGCATTGCAGTAACTATGTAACTAAATGTATTAGCACTTTGAAAAGAGAGGAAACCCCCAATGTGTAAATTTCTTTGGTAAGGCCGGATGCTTTTATGTTGTTTTTTTTATTTTTTTGTTGCTTCTCAAGATTTAGATAAATGTAATTATTTACGAAGACTTAAACCAAAAAGGATATGACTTAAGTTCAAGAAACAGGATCTTCAAAGCAAAGTGCTTTAATCTTATTAGTTTATTTAATTATAGTCTCATCAAAGAGCTTATTTTGCATTTTGCAGTATCATATTCTGTAGCATTAGGTTTGGATCCCTTTTAATGATTTTATGTTTTTTCTTTTTACATTTCCCCTCATCCTTTATAGGCTTCTGGTTTGGGTAAACTGAAGCCTAACACGCTGGTTCTGGGTTTCAAGACAAATTGGAGGGACAGTGCTCCTGAAAGCATTGAAGATTATATCAACACCATTTAGTAAGATGATGAAATATAAATATATTTTAATCCTACAGCAAATATCATAGATATTAGTTTGGAATATGTTATTACTTTCTGTTTATATCTCTACTAAACTTTTTTTGTCCGTTTTCTATCATTACAGTGATACATTTGATTCTAACTACTGTTTGTGCATCCTGAGGATGATGGATGGACTGGATATCTCAGATGATTTAGAGTTTGAAGGTTTTTACTTATTAAATATGTTTTATTTTCTTAGAATTTAACAAGATAACAGCAATATAGTATTGATTTAAATCAAACCTCAATATGACCGTGTCATTTAAACCCCCCAGTGAACCAGGGCTTTGAGCCGGATGAAAATGTGGAAAACCAGGACCAGCAAACCAATGAGGAGGATACAGGTAGGAGACTAATTAGCTAAATATATGATTCTACTGAGATTGTTGTTTCTGATATGAAGCAAAATGAAGCAAATCCTAAATAAATCATTAGCAACCAGTGATACAGTCAGAGCCAGACAGAATGTGATGCAGTCACATTCAATTAGTGGATTGTTTTAGAAGGATATGTTCTACCTCTCTAGAGTTTACTGTAAAGATTTTGTAGCTGTTGCTGCCAGATCCATGCAGCACACACCTTTAAACTCAAGTTTATTCATTATAAATAAAGCATTATTTTGTATAAACATGGCACTTTAAGTTTACTATATTATGTGTCCATTTAAATATATTTTGGCTGTTTTTTAATGTAATCCGTTTAAACTCAACATCTTTTTATGATCCTTAATATTTAAGCAAAAAGTTGCAAATCACATTACAGATTAGGTTTACAGGTAAAGGCAAAATGTTTTTTAGCTACTTTGTTTTAGTTTGAGTTGTTAACTGTTAACAGCTGCTCATTTTTATGTATACCAATATATATGGTGGGAATTTGGGTTAGATATTATTTTAAGACAATTGTAGCTGTGTGTCCACAATGACATCTTCTTGGATTTTTCTTTTCTTTTTTTTTTTTTTTTACATTTACACATTTTTTTTGTACATAGCATCTGAAATATGGCCTCATGGGGGTGATATTGCCTAAGTTAAAGGAGGTAAAAAGCCGATAAACTAATTGCATAATATAATAAATATTAATAGGTGATCTAGTGACCATAGGTTTTCCAGGGGTTAATTATCCAATGTGAGAAATTGTTACATATAAAAAAAAAAAAAAAACTTTTTTATTTTTTTTATTTTGTGTGTCAACCTTTGCTTGAAGTATTTGTAAGTGAGTTAGTCATAAAATCTGGCCTGCACAGGCCATGTGTTGTAGTATATGTCTTGCACACTCCGGAGAACAGAAAGTCCAGACAAAAAAGTCCAAAAAAAGTGGACCTGACATTGTTACATGGGACTCTTTCTACTGCTCTCACCAACAACTGCTGTTTGTATTATATTTTATAACCTAATATGGAACAACTTCCTCTTAAAATGTCTTCTTGTCTTTTGTTTACAGCTGATGATATGTCTGATGAAGGCAGCAGTGATCAGATCAAGACAGTGTTTCAAAATGACCAGGGAAAGAAGACCATTGATGTCTACTGGATAGCAGATGATGGAGGTGAGAAAAACAGGTTTTATAAAAAAAAAAAAAAAAAAAGTTTGACAAGGTTATAGAAATTCCTAAAATAATTTTGTTTTGAACATTTCTACACATTAACACACTGTTAAATATGCATTGTCAAAGTACATTGACTCTTTAACAATTATTACGACCACAGACTAAGATTTACAGTATGTTGAGAGTTAATTTAACACCAATTCAGAGTTGGAGCAAATGCACATGGATCAGTGTTAAATTTAACTGTTAAATTGTAATTAGAACGCCTCCATAAGAAGAAATCCAACAGTTGAAAAAGTTATAGAGCAAAAAGCACAAAGTTGATCTCTAACTTACTAGAATAAAAAGTGTAGGTATACTCTGTAGCTTAAAAAAAAAACATTTCTACTGTATAGGTTTTTTTGTGTGTGTGTTAATCATCATTTGAAATAAAATACATGTTAAGTGTATGAACCCCTCTGCAACAAATAACTTCTGACGACACTTAAGTTATGGGTTAAAAAGATATCAAGCTAATGGCTTTTATGACAAAATGCTGTAATTTATCAATATATTTATTTGTTAATTTGCCAATCCTATGAACATAAGTCAGAACCACTTTAAATGTGTTTTCTTAGGGTGTATCCTGCTCTCTAGATCAGTGCCACAAACTGCCACCCTTTGTAATCAACCTTTTCTCCTTTAAGGTCTGACCTTGCTGGTGCCCTACTTGATCACCAGGAGGAAACGCTGGCACAAATGTAAAGTCAGAGTTTTCATCATTGGAGATGAGCAGAACATGGAAGAAGGTCGCAATGAGTAGGTTTTCCTTCCAAAAAAATTATTTGTTATTGTTGGTTTTTCCTTCTTCCTTTTCATTCTAATGACATCATTTCTTGTTGCATATTTTAGGATGTTGGCTCTGCTGAAGAGGTTTCGGTTGGATGTTAGTGACGTTATAGTAATGACAGACATCGAGAAACAGCCACACCCAAAGAAGTATGTGAAAAAAAAAAAAAAAAAAAAAAAAATTTTCTATTTATTCTCTTACGCCTTTCCAGTTGGCAGTAAGTTTATTAATTATAAAAAAAAAAAAAAAAAAAAAAAAAAACAATTACTGAGCTACATCTCACACAATTTTAAATTAATGTAGACAGTGATAGGGGTCATGTAGTGGGCCTTTTTAATAAGATGACCTAGCAATAGGTTTCTTTTACACTTATGTTTGTCACAACGGAACCATCTTCATCTAAGTTATAGACTTTTTACACCAAAAGTATAAATTCTGTAAATTTGATGTGATTTTAAAGGAGAAGTTCGGTTTTTTACACTTTAAGCCCATTTTCTGTAGTGTCCAGGATGAAATCGAATGA